ACAATGGGGTTTCTGTCCCCAGCCTGCTGCCACCCAGTGCCTCCCCGTTGCGCAACCCCTCTCTTCCAGGACCTGGGCCCAGGCCAGAGGGCTCCACCTGCAGGGAGGCGGGGAGCCAGGCTGACAGACACCCCACCAGGCGGAGCCTCAGAGAGGGAAGCTTCCGGGCTTCCCTCTGCCTCTAGCTGACCTCCCTGCGCCCCTCCTCCAGCCTAGGGATGTCCTCAGCTGGCCAGCCCCTCCCCTGGGGGAACACAGAGACAGGACAATGGGTGCTTGTGGCTGGATCACTCCTATGGGCACTGGGTGGTGAGCCAAGGGACCTGCCTGCCAGGGGTAATGGCCCGATCCCCAGCTGGGCCCCCAGCTGCCCATCTGCTCCGTGCAGGGACATGGGAGGGCAAGACCCAGGTGGGAAACTGAGGCTCAGAACACTTCCGCCCGAGGCCACACAGCAAGGACGTCTTAGGTACCCCAACCCGCTCTTCTGAGGCGAGTTAGACACTGTAGGTCCCAGTGCCCCCCCCCGATAGACCCTTTTCCTCTCTAACCTCCCTCCTCTCACTGCAGGGGCCTCAGCTTCATAGATGTCTCGTCCTAGTCCTCGGGCCAGAGGTGGGAGCTGCCTTCAGGAGAGTGCCTGCCCTGGGGCCCGCCTCCTGGATCAGCTTCGGGGCCTGAGGCTGGGGGCTGGTGTGGGGGCGCCTGGCCTAGCTTTCACCCCACACCACTCCTGGGGGCCACACATGAGCCGGTGTGTGCGTGAGTCGCTGTCGCTGCGTCCGAGGGCATTTCTGCTTGACTGTCAGTCTATCTTGTCTACCTGTCTGGCTGCTCCATGCCAGCGTGTCTGTGTGTCTGGCACCTTGGCCGTTTGTCTGTTCTTGTCTGTCTGCATGTGCTTGTCTAACCATTTACCTGTCTGCTTCGTGCCCGAGGATCTGTCTGGCGTGAGCCACGGCCTAAGTGCTGTATCTGTGAGCGTGTGTCTGTGTCCTCAGTGTCCACGCATCTGCTTGTGTCTGCCGGGGCTCTGGCTGTTGTCCTTCCTCGTCTGTCAGCCTGTCTGTGCCCGGGAGGCTGGAACGTGGAGCAGTGTGAGGATGGAGCCAGAGCTTGGTGCTCAGCCCACTACATTGGAATCTCGTGACTCACTGGGTTACTTGGCCAAGGACAGGAAAAGGGAGGGCAGGGCTGGGGGGGATGGTCACCCCATTTTCCTTTTCCATGACCCTCTTCTTCCTGGTGAGTCATTCTCTTATTCTTGGCCAGAATCAAGCCTTGTCCAAGGGTCTGGGTGGAAGAGCAGGTGGGGAGACAGCAGCGGGATTGCCTGCAGGGCAGGTGGCTGGTCTCAGTGGTGACCTCCCCCATGGGGCCCAGGCAGCGCTGCCTGCCGGGCCTTGGGTTCCTATCTGTGCCCAGGTGCTCTCTAGAGGTCCCCTCATGCTTCTTTCACAGGGGAGGTGAAGTCAGAGAGAGGTGGGGACATGCCCGAGGACACACAGCAGGGCAGAGGTGTGGGCCTTCTGTCCCCAGAGGCCACAGGCCTGCAGCTGCTCTGGGTGCTCAGAGCAGACCGTTCTCCTCTGGGGACTGAGCAGGCCCTTCTGGGAAGACAAAGGCCCTTTGTCTGCTCCCAGTGCAGGAGGCCTGGGGGTTCCGAGACTCGGGTCCCAGACAGTGCTCCTGCTGAGGCCCCCGGGGTCGGCCAGACACATGCAGAGCTCTGAGCAGTGAGGCCTGGGCGCGTCCGAGAGCCAGGCCTGCCCCGGCGCTGTGGCACGCTGTGCCATGTCATGCTATCAGGGCTTCCCAGAGCCTGCCGATTGCGTGGCAGGGAGCAGCCGCAGGGGCTGCGTGACCGTGTTGCCCTGCCCTGGCTGCCAGCGCCGGCTGGAGATAAGAGGCCGGTCACGTGGCAGCACGGCCTGCTGGGACAGGCCTTGCCGTGTGATTTTCTCATTCATTGAGCAAATATTTGTCGGGCATTTACTGTGTGCCCGGCACTGTGTGAGTTGCGGAGTGTTCCTCGTCGGGCCAGGCAGACACAAGGCCTGCCGGGAAGCCTGCCGTCTAATGGAAGACAGATAAATAAATAAGCAGGAACAGAGGGAAAAGTCATTCCAATCCGGTGCCTACACAGACACGCACACAGCGTAAGAACCCTGAGGACCATGAGGGCCGCGGCCGGCCAGGAGAGGAGATGGGTTTGCGCTAAGACCCGAGGAGGAGGCAGCCATCTGGCCTGAGTGAAGCCCTGGTCCTGCATTTGTCGGCCGGAGAAGCCACCCAGAGCTCAATGATAGACTGCAGGGACCAGGCGGGCAGAGGAGCGAGCCAGGGCTGGGAAAGCCTGCGTCACGCGGCAGGGCCTCCGGCTGCAGTAAGGAGCCTGAGCTGTCCTTGGGCCACCGATGAGATTTCCAGGGGAGGAGAGACCATCCGGTGTGCGCTGCGGAGGTGCACACCAGCTCCCTGTAGAGGGCAGGCAGCCCGGGGAGGCCGACTCAGAGAGGCCACAGGTGGCAGCCGTGTTCTCCAGATGGCGACACTGAGGCTGGAGCCAGGCTGTGCCCTGGAAGCCAGGA